CTCACCACACCCCCTTTCTCAGCTCTCCTCCCCCCCCCCTTCTCTCCCACATCTCTAGCCCCCCCCCCTCTCTCTCTCACCCCCCTTCTCTCCCACTCTCTAAGACCCCCCCCCCCTCTCTCTCCACCCCCTTCTCTCTCTCACCCCCCCCCCCCTTCTCTCCCACTCTCTAGCCCCCCCCCTCTCTCTCTCACCCCCCCTTCTCTCCCACTCTCTAGCCCCCCCCCCCCCCGCTCTCTCTCCTTACCACTCTCTGCCCGTCTCTCTGCCTCTCTCCTGTTGCTTTCTCTGCCTCTCGCGTCCCGTGACTCGCGCCTCTGCGAGCGAGGGGGAGGGCCAGGAGGGGGAGGTGGGTGGGGGAGGGGGGGGGAGAGGTGGGTGGGTGGTGGGTGGGTGGTGGGTGGGTGGTGGGTGGGTGGTGGGGGGAGGTGGGTGGGGAAGGTGGGTGGGGGTCGCGTTCCCTGGCTGCACCCAAAGTCGTTTCCTGCGATTGTCTCCCGCAGAGCCGAGGCCACGGGAGGAGCTGCGACATCAGCACGAACAGCACGAACAGCACGAACAGCAGCACCAACAGCAGCAACAGCACGAACAGCAGCAACAGCACGAACAGCAGCAACAGCACGAACAGCAGCAACAACACGAACAGCAGCAACAACACGAACAGCAGCAACAACACGAACAGCAGCAACAACACGAACAGCAGCAACAACACGAACAGCAGCAACAACACGAACAGCAGCAACAACACGAACAGCAGCAACAACACGAACAGCAGCAACAACACGAACAGCAGCAACAGCACGAACAGCTGCAACAGCAGCAACAGCAGCAACAGCACGAACAGCTGCAACAGCACGAACAGCAGCAACAACACGAACAGCTGCAACAGCACGAACAGCAGCAACAGCACGAACAGCTGCAACAGCAGCAACAGCAGCAACAGCACGAACAGCTGCAACAGCACCAACAGCAGCAACAGCACGAACAGCTGCAACAGCAGCAACAGCAGCAACAGCACGAACAGCTGCAACAGCAGCAACAGCAGCAACAGCACGAACAGCTGCAACAGCACGAACAGCAGCAACAACACGAACAGCTGCAACAACACGAACAGCTGCAACAGCACGAACAGCTGCAACAGCACCAACAGCAGCAACAGCACGAACAGCTGCAACAGCACGAACAGCTGCAACAGCAGCAACAGCAGCAACAACACGAACAGCAGCAACAGCACGAACAGCTGCAACAACACGAACAGCAGCAACAGCACGAACAGCTGCAACAACACGAACAGCAGCAACAGCACGAACAGCTGCAACAGCAGCAACAGCAGCAACAGCACGAACAGCTGCAACAACACGAACAGCAGCAACAACACGAACAGCTGCAACAACACGAACAGCAGCAACAGCACGAACAGCAGCAACAACACGAACAGCAGCAACAGCACGAACAGCAGCAACAACACGAACAGCTGCAACAACACGAACAGCAGCAACAGCACGAACAGCAGCAACAGCACGAACAGCAGCAACAGCACGAACAGCAGCAACAGCACCAACAGCTGCAACAGCACGAACAGCAGCAACAGCACGAACAGCAGCAACAACACGAACAGCAGCA